ATACTGCATCCGCTGTACCTGTTGTGGCCTTCTCTACATCGGGGAAATCAAGCGGAGCATCGGGGACCGCTTTGCAGAACACCTACGCTCGGTTCGCAATAAACAACTGCACCTCCCAGTCGCGAACCATTTCAACTCCCCCTCCCATTCCTCAGACGACATTTCCGTCCTGGGCCTCCTGCAGTGCCACAACGATGCCACCCGAAGGTTGCAGGAACAGCAACTCATATTCCGCTTGGGAACCCTGCAGCCCAATGGTATCAATGTGGATTTCACAAGTTTCAAAATCTCCCCTCCCCCTACCGCATCCCAAAACCAGTCCAGCTCGTCCCCGCCTCCCTAACCTGTTCTTCCTCCCACCTATCCCCTCCTCCCACCTCAAGACACACCCCCATCTCCTACCTACTAACCTCATCCCGCCCCCTTGACCTGTCCGCCCTCCCTGGACTGACCTATCCCCTCCCTAACTCCCCACCTACACTCACCTTTACTGGCTCCATCCCCGCCTCTTTGACCTGTCTGTTTCCTCTCCACCTATCTTCTCCCCTATCCATCTTCTATCTGCCTCCCCTTCTCTCCCTATTTATTTCAGAACCCCCTTCCCCTCCCTCATTCCTGATGAAGGGTCTAGGCCCGAAACGTCAGCCTTACTGCTCCTATGATGCTGCTTGGCCTGCTGTGTTCATCCAGCTCTACATCTTGTTATCTCAGATTCTCCAGCATCTGCAGTTCCTACTATGGCTGGAATCAGTGTTAGTTTGTTAGTGGGATCCATGTCTAATGGGTATTAGGACATGGGAGGAGCAGATACATGAATCATGGTTTTGCAAATTCCAGCTACACTTAACTTTCAATTATTTCAGCATCAATTAGCAAAGCATTATAATGTGAACATGCTTCGCTTTCAAATGCTAGTCAAAGACTATTTGCACCATGCCATTGGTCCTTGCAAATTGAACATCAACAGAAGTTCACAGCAATCATTTAAAAGAGATGAATGCTGGCTAATACCAAGGCATAATTTTAAAATCTTGTTAGGGTGCTGTGGGAGAAGGGGAATATTGCTTCATCATCTGTCATGTGATTATTGAGATAGATTCTACAAAATTCAATGGAAAGTTGAATGATTGATGTAGGTCTGGGATGGGAAGAAGGGTTGGAATGCAGAAAGTACTCTCTTTTCAATATCACGTGTTGGTCACTCAACTGGCACAGCACCTTCACTGAATTGGTGGCTATGCTGTAACCAGGGCTATGCTGGAGCAGACAATAGGTTGTTGGAAATGTGATTCTTCTTGGACTCGTCAGGGGAGCCCTCCAGGATAGTCCGGACAGAGTGTGCTGAATCATGCTGTGCCTTGCACAATTGGGGTAGACTCTGAGGTGATGGAATAAATGCTGAAGAACTGGGGAACAATGGTAGTTTTTTTGAGAAGGATGGCAGTGGGGAGATGGAAAGTTCATGGAAATTATCCGTAACAGAGCTCAGCTGTGTTGGATGTGACAAGCCAGAGAAGACCTGATTGATACCTGGCTCCAGTAGATGACAGGTGCAGGAGACCGTCATGGAATGTTAAATAGCTATTGGTCACCATGCCAGCATTTGTTGGAATGTGGAATGAACTGCAGCCTCTGTTCATTTTGTTTGTGTTCACTTTTACTGGCTGTAAATAAAAAACTCATCTTTGAAGTTATCCAATTGCTTGGGATGTTCTCCAGCTGGACATTGAAAAGATGCCGGTCTAAATTGAGCATTTGGGACAGAATGGGATGACTTAGCAAGGGCGGTTATTCTGGATGTACCTGAGCTCAGGTAAACTGTCTGGCTGGTGGCTAAAGAGCAAAGAAGTTGAGAAAATAGGGTTATACGTGCAAGGGAGGCTCAGCCATGCCAGCTATATGCCGTAAACACTGTGGCTTTGCGGTTGCTGTGCCATTACATTGCTGGTGTGAGGTAACACCACATTGCCCAAGTGCAAAGCATACTTTTAAAGATAGCATGGACACCAGGGATGCCGGTCTTTTGGCTGATATCTGCTGAAACATAAGTTGTTCTGCAAACGGTGCATGGTAGGATGGGACTAGAATAGGGTGAGAGGAGAAACAAAGATAGATAGTAAATGATAGGTAGCATTTGATAAGATGTGGTGAAAGAATCCACGAGGTCTCATGACTAGAAACCCTCTTTAAAAACTTTATGAAACGATAATTAGCCAAAAAGAAAGTTCAGCTTTTGGTCTTCTCTCTGTATTTCACTCTATGATAAATTATAGTATTCATGTTCACCCGTCTTTGAACTAGCAGCCCAGCAGCTTATCCCTGCTGCAATTCATCTCATTGCACTTCTTATGCTCATTATAGTGTTGGAACATACAAAATAAGAGCAAAAGTAGCCTTTTCAGCTCCTTGAGCTGCCCCACCATTGAATAAAACTGTGGCTGATCTGTTTATGTTCTGGATTCCATATTCCCCTCTACCTTTGGTAACACTTGATTCCCCAGCCCAACAAGAGTCTATCTCTCGCCACCTTAAAAGTAGTCAATTCAATCTCTAACTTAACAGAATGTTCTCCAGAATTACTCTGAAAATAAATAATTAACATAAATATTCATTCTTCCCCTCATTCCTGTTCCAAACTGGCATGCTACCTGCCTGACGTTATTATTCCTGCCTCACCACATCATCTAAAACAACATTGGAAACACCAACTTTGCAGTATTCATGCTAATATAGGTCAACATAAATATCAATATTTGTTGCTTTCTTACCAATGTTAATGGTTGGTGGCTGATTGTTGATGGGCATTACAGTAACGTTAAGATCATACACAGGGAGAGAATTGTGCATTGGTAACAGACAGGAAAGTGGTTCCTCAGAGCAGCAGCCTTCTACTGTACCTCCATCCCAATCCGAGATGACAAAAGTAATGGTGTCAATACAGGGTGCTAACCCCACCTCACCACCTGAGAAGAGGGAAAATTCAAATAGTAAAAGGGTTATTGTTCAAATTAAATAATTTATCAGGATTATATTTTCAGTCCATAGTCTTAACTTGACAGTCGCAATTCAAATCATAATTGGACTACTCTGAATGTCCTAATCTTTTTATCTTCCCCCTTTTGCCTTTCCAAAATAAATTCACACTTGCTGGGATAGAGTTCTGGGGAAACAATATTTTAAGGGGCACTGGCGGCCTATTTCACCTTGTTAACGATATGAAAGGGCTTTATGGCCCTGAAGTAACCTTATAATCATGTCACAAAGCTGCTCCTCACTGGGCATAAGTAGCACATTGTCAGCAGAGAGTTATGAAAGAACAACAAAGTACACGAAGAGCTAGGCAGAAACCTAAGGTTTCATCATGTGAATATTAGAAATATGCAGAGAAGTAGATGGTAAACCAACTAGACTTAACAGTAGAAATTATGAAATTGCCTTTCAAGAATGTAATGGTAAGATTAGAGCTTAATGTTTTTGAACATTATGTATTGTAGTATTTAAACATAATATGCACTAAACAGTGTTATAAAGAAGCCCAATCCCGAAGATTGTCCTTGACTTTGTCTGCTCCATGACCTGTCTCTCTTGAACCCTAATTCATGGACATCAGCAGAAAAAAAATCACATGACAAAAGAAAAGGCATCACCTGCTCTTAATCCCAGCCAACTCTTCCTGCAAGAATAGTAATTTGGAGTTGAAAGCTTGGATGATTTTAATCAGCAAGAAAAGGGATGCTGAGTCTAATTCAAGTATTCTCGCTTCTCCCTGGCAGAGACTGGTTAACCCAACAGAAATGCGGAGCTGCTGGAATGTTCTGATCAATTTTTACTTTGCTATTTCCTCATTCACCATTAGTTTGTTTTGTCATCGGCCAAAGATAGACACTTAACAACAACAGGAGCTAGATAATGTTGAGATAAAGGACCAGGAGGGAAGGTAGCAAGAAACAGAAAACAGAAGTTAAATATTAGAGCAAATAAAGGGACATTGAACAAATGGTTGTTCAAGCCTTTTCTAATTAAAGTGGTTGTTCCCAGGATGTTGATAATTTCCATTTTTAGCTGAATTACAGCGTATTTCCAAACAGTAACAATGCTGACAGAATTCCCAACTTGTCAACAGAAATGCACTGGAAAACCTCCTCAATTCAATAGATTTTTGTTTCCACCACTGAATAAATGATGAGTGCGCAGTTCTAAAAAAAAACAAAAACCCATATAATCCATCATAGGATGGTATTTAAAGCAGTTCCAATGACCCAAGATGTGATATATTAGAACATAGAACAGTACAGGCCCTTTGGCCCATTGTATTCATAGAATCCCTACAGTGTGGAAACAGGCCCTTTGGCCCAACAAGTCAACACAGACTCTCAGACCGATCCCCCTATAATCTACACATCCCTGAACACTATGGGCAATTTAGCATGTCCAATCCACCTGGCCTGCACATCTTTGGACTGTGGGAAGAAATCAGAGCACCTGGAGGAAAGCCACACAGACACAGGGAGAATGTACAAACTCCACACAGACAGTGGCCCAAGGGTGGAATTGAACCCGGGTCCCTGGTGCTGTGAGGTAGCAGTGCTAACCACTGAGCCACCGTACTGCCCCAACTGTGCTTAACTTTTATCTTAAACCTAAGGTCTATCTAACCTCCACCCCTACCTTATACTATCATCCATATGCCTGTCTAATAGCCGCTTAAATGCCACTAATGAGGCTGACTCCACTACCGTCTCCGGCAATCCATTCCACGCCCCTAACACTCTCTGAGTAAAGAACCTGCCTCTGACGTCTCCCCTATATCTACCTCCACTCACTTTAAAACTATGCCCCCTCGTAATAGCTACCTCCACCCTAGGAAAAAGTCTCTGGCTGTCCACTCTATCTATCCTTCTGATCATTTTGTACACCTCTATCAAGTCAAATATATTACATTAATTCGATTAATTTCCCAGATTTCCCCTCCATAGTCCCTTTACATGTCAGTGATATATAGCTTCTTACAGCAACCTTGAGGCATAGATTAAAGTTGAGTACTTTCTCCTTCTCAGCTGATGGATTTACAAATACAAGACCGAACAATCAAACATCAAAAAGAGACAAACAGAAACCACTAGCTGTTTAGGAACTTAAAACCTGAGGGACGGGTGTAGACCAACACGAGCCTGTTCAACCATCTATTTTGATCATCACAATCTGCACTTCACCTCAATTTTCTTTGCTTTAATCCATGTCCTTTAAAGGCTTTACTTAACAAAAAAATATTACCCACCTCAATTTCAAAACCCCTAATGGTCTCAGCATCAATAGCATTGCAGGGTCTGGGAGGTGGAGGTGTGGTGAACTCCAGATTTCTGAAACACTTTGTGAAACAAACAGTTTCCTGATTTCATTCATGAATAGCCTGTCTCCAATTTCAGGAAAACTGTCCATTGTTGTGGATGTTCTCACCATTTTTTACACAAAAAAGTCCTTTTAACATTGTAAACACCTTGATCATGTTACTCATCTCTATAAACAAAACCTCTTATACTCAAGGGACTGCATGCCAAATTGATGTTAATTTAACTCTTTAAATCCTGCCAAAGGCATTTCAAAGAAGGAGATGCTTGATAATCACACCACTGTGATGTGAGATGCGCAACTTAATAAAAAAAGATGTAAACATTAGAACAGAAAATGACTGACTCAGCCAAATGTGAATGTGCCTGTCAGAGAAAAGATATCAAGCCGAATGAAAAGGTCACAGATTTGTAACATCTATTTCTATCTTCTAAGGGTCTTAGAGCTTAGCTGTCAGTATCTGCATTGAAAATAGCCTTCCAATCATTGAGTTATCTGTCAAGCTTTGCCCTGATTCTTGCTTCTGAGCCAATTTTGAATCAAACACTCCACTTGCTCTTTCTGGCCAGTCTGCCATGCACGAGGTATGTGCAAAGAAAGGAAGTTTCGCAATTTTATAGCATTTTTCATGACCCCAGAGCGTCCCAAACCTTTCTACACCCAATTATTTCCTTTAAGAGCCGCTGCTATTGAAGTGTGGAGACACCGTAGCCAATTGATGCACAGCAAGCACCCAAAAACAAAATAACAATCAAATAGATCAGATTGTCTCTAGGTGAGTTTGGTTGAGGAAAGACCATTAGGTAAGTCAGATTACCAGCAATATTGGTATTTTACCCTTATATTAGACCAAGTTTGATAAGGATACCTAGCCAGTGTCCTTAGCCAGGACTCTAGTCTTTACAGGGCACTTTGCTTAGTTCAACAGCAGCAGCCATGAGATGGGGAGGAACACAGTAACTGGTAAACTGCAGGCATATTCCGCTGCAGGAACACCTTGAGAATCTTCAGTGCGGCTTCTTGTTGACATCATAATTTCAAAAAGTGAGAAAGGCTGAGGATCAGTGAGTCATAGAGTTCCCACAGTCTGGTAACAGGCTAACCCACCTAACCTACACATCCCTGGACACTATGGGCAATTTAGCATGGCCAATCCACCTAATTTGCACATCTTTGGGCTGTGAGCAGAGACCAGACCACCCAGCAGAAACCCATGCAGACACGGGAGAATGTGCAAACTCCACACAGACAGTCGTCTGAGTCTGGAATCAAACCTGGGTTCTTGGCGTTGTGAGACAGCAGTGCTAACAATTGAGCCACTGTGCTACCGTGGTACTGGTCATCTGTCAATTACTGGTTAACCCATCCTTATCCTACAGAAATAAATAAGTTAGTTACAATTAACCTTTGCCTAATGTTAGTGAGTAGGAAGTCTAACAAAATAAGACTAATAATCCTAGTCTAAGGTGTCAACCATAAGTTTAAAAGATGTCAGGAGAGACCAGCTGAGCAGAACATGTATCTTGTTGCATGTGGGGAGGCCTGGTGATACCAGTCTCCCAGATGACCAGCATGATGGCTCAGTGGTTAGCAATACTGCCTCACAATGCCAGGGACCCGGGTTCAATTCCACCCTCTGGCAACTGTCTGTGTAGAGTTTGCATGTTGTCTGCATGGGTTCCCTCCGGGTGCTCCAGTTTCCTCCCACAGTCCAGAGACGTGCAGGCTAGGTGGATTGGTCATGCTAAATTGCCTGTACTGTTCATGGATGTGCAGATTAGGTGGGTTATGGGGAATGGGTCTGGGTGGGATGCTCTGAGGGTCGGTGTGCACTTGTTGGGTCGAAGGGTCTGTTTCCCCACTGTATGGATTCTATAATCTATGATTATGACCAAATGTGTAGGGAGTGTTCCCAGCTGTACACACTTGGGCTCTGGGGTCTTTGAACTTGAGCAGTGGCTGGAGACTGTGGTTCATCCACAAGCCTTAGAGTTACATGGCTAGCAAGTTTAGAGACGTAGTCACACTGCAGCTCAAGGGACTAGAGGAAAAAAATGAATGGGTGACTATCTGATACTCCAGAAAGAACTGACAGATAGTGCAGGAATCCCCTGGGATTCCACTCACTAACTGGTATTCCATTTTGGAAGGTGATGAGGGTGCTGCTACCTCAGAGGAATGCAGTCAGAACCAAGCTTCTGGTACTACAAGCAGCTTGACTGTATGAGGGTAGTGGGGAGAAGAAAGGAAGAGCAATAGTATTAGCGGATTCTTTAGTTAGGGGAGTACATAGGCATCTCTGCATCATGATGTGACTCCAGGATGGTGTGTTCCTTACCTGATGGCAAGGTCAGGAATATCACAGCTGCAGGGCATCCTGAAAGGGGAGGGTGATGGGTTAAAGGCAGTGGTACATATTGGTATCAATGATATGGGCAAAGTTAGGAATGAGGTCTTCCATCAAGAATTCAGGGAACAAGGCAGTAGATTAAAAAGCAGGACCTCTATGGTTGTAATCTCTGGATTACTCCCAGTGTCACGTGCTAGCGAATTTAGAAATATGAGAATAGGACTGATGAATGCATGGCTCAAGAGTTGGTGCAAGAGTGAGGGTTTTAGTTTTCTGGATCACTTGGACCATTTTTGGAGAATGTGGGGCATGTACAGACAAGACAGCCTGCACTTGTAACTCATTGGGACTAACATCTTTGCAGGTAGAAACCAAAAGAACTGTGGATGCTGTAAATCAGGAACAAAAACAGAAGTTGCTGGAAAAGTTCAGCAGGTCTGGAAGCATCTGTGAAGAAAAGTCAGAGTTAATGTTTCGGGTCCGACAACCCTTCCTTATAACTGTTCTGAGCCTGAAACGCTAACTCTGATTTTTCTTCACAGATGCTGTCAGACTTGCGGAGCTTTTCCAGCAACTTTTGTTTTTATCCTTGCAGCTAGGTTTGATAGTGCTGTTTGGAGGGGTTTAAACTAGTTTGGCAGGTCGAGGGGACACAGAATAGTGATGAAATTGAAATACATCATGCTACAGCAAAGGAAGCAAGTCACAGTGAGTTCATCCACGTTGAGTGTCAAGAGAGTAAAGCAAGGGTGGATAGTCTGTACTTTAATGCTAGGAGTGTAATAGGTAAGACTGATGAGTTAGTGACATGGATGATACATGAAAGTATGATATTGTTGCCATCACAGAAACATGGTTGAGGGAAGGGCTGGACTGGCAACTCAACATTCTGGAGTACAGGATCTTAGGCAAGACAGAGGAGGCTGTAAAAAAGGTGGTGGTGTAGCACTATTAATTAAGGAGTCAATTACTGCAATAAGGAGAGATGATTTATTTTAAGAATCCCTACAGTGTGGAAACAGGCCATTTGGCCCAACAAGTCCACATCACCTCTCCAAAGAGCATCCCACCCTGACTCATTCCCCTACCCTGGCACTTCCCCATGTCAAATCCAAACGTCCCTGGATACTACGGGCAATTTAGCATGGCTAATCCACCTAGCCTGCACCTCTTTGGACTGTAGGAGGAAGCCGGAGCACCCGGTGGAAACTCCAAACAGACAGTCGCCCGAGAGTGGAATTGAATCCAGGTCCCTGGTGCTGTGAGGCAGTAATGCTAACCACTGAGCCACAGTGCTGTCCATCTTGGAAGACTTTGTAGGTAGAACTTCAGAATGTTAAGAGGGCAGCTAGTTTACTGGTAGTCTATTATAGGCCTCCAAAGATTCAGACGGAAATAAAGGAGCAAATACATAGACAGTTCAGAGAAATGTGTAAGAGTAATAATTGGGAAATTATACTGGGGGATTTCAACGTTCCCAACATAAATGGGGACAGTCATAGTGTTAACAGTTTAGAGGGGGAGGATTCTTGAAATGTATATGGGGGAGTGTTTTATATCAATATGTAGAAGGCCAAAGAAGGATAGCACAGTGTTGGATGTGGTTCGGGGGAAAAAACCTGGAAAAGTGTTCAATGTGATGTGGAGGAACATTTAGGCAATAGCGACGAAAACATGGTATGGTTCAAATTTGTCCTGGACAAGGAAAAAGATGGCCTGCAAAAAAAGGCTTTGGATTATGGGAAGGCAAATTTTATTAATATAAAGCAGGATCTGGCCACAGTAGACTGGAAATAGCACCTTGCGGGTAAGTCTACAGCGGATCAGTGGGGCTACGTTCAAAAAGGAGTTGGGGAGAGTGCTTGTCCAACATGTACTCTTTAGAGGGAAATTTAGGAGAAATAAGTTCAGAGAACTCTGGATATCTAAGACAATTCAGGACTGGATGAGAAAGAAATATAAGGCTTTTTGCAAGTCCAAAGGGAGCAATTCAGCTCTGACCCTAAAGGAATACAGAAGAAAATTTAAGGAAGCATTAGAAGAGCAAAAAAGTGTCATGGAAAATGACTTGTGAACAGGATTAAACAGAATCCTAAGATACTTTTAGAAAAATATTGAAGGGAAAATGTTAACCAGGAAAAGAGTAGGGCCAATTAGGGACCAAGGGAACAACCTGTGTGTGAAGCCACAGAATATTGGAAGCGAGTTGAATGAATACTTTTCTACAGTCTTCACTCTGGAAAAGGAGAATGGAAGTATGGAATTCAGGAAAAGGAACTGTGAAGAACTTACAGTTTGCCAAAGGAAATGGGAAGGTATTGGATGTTATGTCGGGCTCAAAGACAGACAAATCCCGTGGCCCAGATGAATTATATCTCAGGCTGCTGTGGGAGATGAGGCAGGAAATTGTAGGGGCTTTGACGCAAATTTTTAATTCCTCTCTGACAACAGGGCAAGTGCCAAAGGACTGGAGGATGGCAAATATGGTCCCACTTTTTAAGAAGGATGGTAGAGATGCACCAGGAAATTATAGACCAGTAAGTCTCACATCTGTGGTAGGAAAACTATTGGAGAAAATTCTGAAGGATCAAATTAATACCCACTTGGAAAGTCAATTGGGCGTTGTCAGCATGGCTTTGTCAAAGGGAGGTCATGCTTAACAAATTTATTAGAATTTTTTGAAAATGTGATAGTGTGTGGATGAGATAATTTCAGTTGATTAAGTTTATATGGATTTTATCAAAGCTTTTGACAAGGCCCCACATGGGAGACTGATTGAGGAGGATTAAAGCACATGGAATGGCAGGAAACTTGACAAGATGGGTCATAGACTGGCTTAGTAATAGGACACAAAGGGTACTGATAAAAGGCTGTTTGAGTGATTGGAGGCCAGTGACCGGCAGTGTATTACAAGGATCAGTACTGAGCCCCTTATCATTTGTTATATACATTGATATAGATAAAAATGTGGGGGGATTGCTAAGCAAATTTGTAGATAACACCAGGATTGGTAGAGTAGTTAATAGTGAAGAAGATGGCTATAGGTTACAGGATGGGTTTGTCAGATGTGCAGATGGTATTTAATCCTGACAAGTGCAAGGTGATGCACTTTGGAAGAAGAAACAAGATGAGGGAGTATTTAATGAATGACGAACACTGGGTAGCTCAGAGAACAGAGGGATTTTGGGGTAATTATTCACAGATCCCTGCAGTCGGCAGAGCATGTGAATAGCATAGTTAAGAAGACATATTGATCACTTGCTTTCATCAGTTATGGCATGGATTATAAGAGCAAGAAATTAATATTGGAGTTGAACAGAGCGTTAGTTAGGCCACGACTGGAGTAATGTGCTCAGTTCTAGTCAATTCATTGCAGTAAGGATGTGATAGCACTAGAGGAGGTGCAGAGGACTTTTGCCAAGATATTGCCTGGAATGGAGAAACTGAGCTATATAGAGAAAATAGATAATCTTGGATTGTTTGTTTTTAGAGCAGAGAAGACAGAGGAGGAACATGATTGAAATATATGATATTGAGAGGCATGGACAGGGTGAATGGAGAGCAGCTGTTCCCCTTGGTTGAGGGTCAATCACAAGAAGCCATAGTTTTAGGGTAAGGGACAGGAGATTTAGAGGGGATTTGGGGAGAAACTTTTTCACTCAGCAGGTAGTGGGAAATCTGGAATGCACTGTCTGGGAAGATAGTGGAGGCCGGAAACCTTACACCCTTTAAAAATATTTGGATAAGCACCTAAGATATCATAACATTCAAGGATATCCGACAAGTGCAGAAATTTGAGATTAGGGCATTCGGTCGTGACGTTGGTGTAGACTTGATGCACCAAAGGGCCTTTTCTGTACTATATGAATCTATGAAATAATCTATGAATCCCTTAAGCTAAGGGGCCTAGCCAAAGATGCATATGAAGAACATAGCAGAATTACATAAGGAGAAGCTACTTACCAGTGTGTATATATGTCACTGTCCTTGAAAGGATATCTGCCTGAAAGAAGTGGTCAACAATTTGGCTATCTTTCTGTACCACTCCATGGAATGGTTGCCTTGCAATCATGAACATAAGCCTCTCATCGTCGCTATCCAGGTCAATGGCGTAGAGATTTTCTGTGGTGATGGTGACTTCTGCCCCTTCAAAACAATACAACACGGGCTTCAGGCCAGCCTTCATCACTGGAGGCTCGTCATTCACTGGTAGTATCTGGAGTGAAATCACAGGGCATTACAAAGATTTGGGCTGCAACAGAAACATCAAGCCAATCAGCTCTTGCAGGCTGCAAGATTAAAGTTCCCAGGGAGCCAGACTTTCTAATATCGTTAAAAAGATCTCAGAAAAATATTAATCAGGAAACAGCAAATGTCTTTGTACCTAATAAATTGATCTTGGCTACAGTGTAAAATGAATGATGAGTTGACAGACTGCTCTACACCTTTTCAATTTTTGTTCAACTTGACTTCAAGGTGATAAATTAAATTGCTTCATACAATTGTACAATATCATTACCATTAACTACTATTCAAAAAATTTACTATGATCTTTATTTTCAATATTATAGTTCCAGCACTGTGGAGCCACCTGTATAATCAATTAGGCTGGAGAATAGTTGACAACAGGATTATTAGATAAAGAGAATGTCAAAAATAATAGATAACAAGGTGTAGAGCTGGATGAACACAGCAGGCCAAGCAGCATCAGAGGAGCAGGAAAGCTTCTTCAGAAATGGGGGTGGGGAAGGGGATTCTGAAATAAATAGGGAGAGAGGGGGAGGCGGATAGAAGATGGATAAAGGAGAAGATAAGTGGAGAGGAAACAGACAGATCAAAGAGGCAGAGGTGGAGCCAGTAAAGGTGAGTGTAGGTGGGGAGTTAGGGAGGGGATAGGTCAGTCCAGGGAGGACGGACAGGTCAAGGAGGCGGGATGAGGCTGGTAGTTAGATGGGGGTGGGGCTTTAGGTGGGAGGAGGGGATAGGTGGGAGGAAGGACAGGTTAGGGAGGCGGGGACAAGCTGGGCTGGATTTGGGATACGGTCAGGGGAGGAGAGATTTTGAAGCTTGTGAAGTCTACATTGATACCATTGGGCTGCATGGTTCCCAAGCAAAATATGAGGTGCTGTTCCTGCAACCTTCGGGTGGCATCATTGTGGCACTGCAGGAGGCCCAGGATGGACATGTCATCCAAAGAGTGGGAGGGGGAGTTGAAATGGGAAAAATGATTCAGAATATTTCTTATCTGTGAGAGACATGCACCCCCTGTTTCTTTTTCTAGGTGAACCATGGAAGCAGGCTACATAATCCTCTGGAGTAGAGTTCTTTGACTTTTAACAGGCATTAAAATACTCAGCAGAGGGGACTGCAACACCCACCAGTGTGAGGCCCTTTATACTCAGAACATTACACTCATCTTGTACAGGCCACAGATCTCTAGGGTCCCTATTCCCCAGTGATCCTACCACAGATATTGTCAACCACTTCATTCACACCAACATGTTTGGACACAGAGTCAGGGACAGAATTTGAATTAGCACAAGGGCAGTAGCATCAGCATAATCCCACAGATGCCTTGTTCATCTTGCTTCCACATGATGCAGCTGGCTTTCAAGAAAGACATTGATCCAAGGTGCATAATGTGTGGACATGAAGTTAGACATCCTATAATGGACTATTCTCCTGGAATGAGAGAAAAGGAAGAATTAAGTGGGGCAAAAGTGGGTGGCACAGCTTTTAGTGCTGATGCAGGTGTGCAAATGGTGGTGAGGGGTCCTGGGCAAGTCAGTAGGTAACACTGAAGCCGTGGAGGGTCTGTGTTGGGGAAGTTGGATGAAACAAAACCATGTGAGGCAAGCTGCTACAAGGAATAATGAAAGTGGTAGAGTATGAGCCTTGGTAGGAGGTGGGTGCAAGGCCATGTCGAAAAAAACCTTTCAAAAAACTCGATATAACTTGCACTTAGCCAAAAACAGTAAGATTCTACCCTCCATCTCTTTGCTCACTAAGCTGCAGACTTCATGATGGTTGGCAAATTACTACAGGAGTTAATGATTATTTTCCTCAGAGCAGTGAAGGTTGAGGGCAAATTTAATAAAGATGTTCAAAGTCATTAAGGACCAGGGAGAAAACGTTTCCCCTGGCAGGAAGGTCACTTATGAGATGACTCAAATTTTAGAAATTTGGCCAAACAAAAAATGACAAAGAGAAATGAGAAGAGTTTATTTTATTTAGAGATTTGTCAGAATCTAGGAAGTACAGGCAATGTAAGATCTCGAAGCATCTATGGAGACTTAAACAGAATTAACATTTTCAGTCTGGTATGACTCTTCTTCAGAACTGTTAAGATGCTACATACGGTTCAATAGTTTAATAGAGATTAATGAGCTGACGAGATTCAATAACCAGACAACAATAGGCACGCTGTTGAGAATACTGGGAATCTACAGGAAATACTGTTAACTAAGAGGGGAACACAGTCAGCGTGGACTAGTTGGACCGCTGTATGACTCTATGAGGCTATGACTTAGAGACAGAGGAGTCAAAGCTGACATTTCAAAATTGCAAAACTTTTACCAGATATAGACACAAAACTTCCAACAAACCCTTTTAAGCACAACAATGTGATGAAGACTGTATCCAAAGACGAAATACAGCCTGGAAGGCTGGCCAAAAAATACACCAAAACACATCAATAATGCCGTATGTTCCAGTTATCGAACAGGACAAACTTATTACCAAGATTAACAAATTACTGGTTTTCAATGAAAACACATAATAACAAACAATCTTGGACTGGAAATTCTTCATAGAATTTACCCAGGTCTTTGGGACATTACACAGTGTCACAAAAGAGTACAAGACCTAGGGATTCCAATCTCAATATAAGAAATTATCAAGAATTGCATTTTTAAAAAATCATTATGGATGCAAACATTGTTAGCTAGGCCAGTATTGCCCAATCCTAGTTGCACTCAAGAAAGAGTGAGCTGACTTTTTGAACAACTACAGTCTTTGGTGTATAAAGAAATTCAGTGCCTTTATGAATGGAAGGACCAAGTGATACTGCAGAATGGTGATACATTTCCAAATCAGGATGGTAAGTGCTTGGAGAGGAAATGGAAGGTGGTGGTCTCCAATGTATCTGTAACCCTGACAATAGGTAAATAAAAACCAAAGAACTGCAGATACTAAAAATCAGAAACAAAAACAGAAATTACTGGAAAAACTCAGCAGGTCTGGCAGCATCCGTGGAGAGAAATCAGAGTTAACATTTCAGGTTCAGTGACACTTCAGAACTCATTGGGAAAAGTGTGGGAAATATGCTAAAGATGGAGTGGGGAGATGGGAAGGAGTAAACACTAGGTAGAGATGAAGACTAGAGAGAGAAATTTACAGTTTGGCAGACAAAAGAATGGGGTAAAGGTCAGCCTTGGAGCATGAATAGCTGTTAATGGGGATTGTTAGTGGCTAACAATGGGCTGTTTGTGGTAGCAGCCCATGTTATGACAAGACCTGTTATGTAGGGGTTGGGACAAGGACATGGGAGAAGGTGCTCAAGCACTAAAATTGTTGAACTTGATATTGGTCCAGAAGGCTGCAGGGTTCCCAAGCAGAAATGAGGTGTTGTTTTTCAAGCTTATGCAGAGCTTTTCTGGAGCACTTCAGCAAACCCAAAACAGAGATGTTGCCCTGGAAACAGGGTGGTGTGTTGAAATGGCAGGCAACATGAAGCTCAGGGTCATTTTTGTGGACAGAATATAGGTTTTCTGCAAAGCAGTCACCCAGTCTTTGCTTTGTCTCCCAATACAGAGGAGACCACTCTATGGAGTAGCGAATACAGTAAACTAAATTGAGTGAAGTGCAGTTAAATCGCTGCTTCACCTGGAAGATACATCTGGGACCTTGGATAGTAAGGAGGGAGGAAGTAAATAGGCAGATATTTCACCTTCTGTCATTGCTTGGAAAGGTTCCATGGGGATTTGGAGAGATATTGGGAGTAGAGGAGGAGTGGAACAAGTATCTCAGAGCAAACAGTCCCTGCAGATGCCTGACAAGGAAGGCAAAGGGATTATGTTTTTGGTGGTGGCATCCCGCTGGAGGTGGCAGAAGTGGCGGCTAATGATCCTTTGGATATGGATGCTAGTGGGGTGGTAGGTGAGGTTGAGGGGAATCCCACTGCTGTTGTGCGAGGGAAGAATGGGATGAAGACCAATGTGCAGGAGATGAGTCAGACAGAGCTGAGGGCCCTGTCAACCACAGTGATGGAGAATCCTCAGGAGAAGAAGAAGGTGGACATTTTGTAGGCCCCCTTGTCAAAGTTATCATCATTGGAACAGATGTGACAGAGATGGAGGAACTGGGGAAATGGAATACAGTCTTTAAAGGAAGCAGGATGTGAGGATGTCAAGGTAACTGTGGGAGTTGATAGGTTTGTTGTGGATATTGGTGGCCAGCCTATCCATAAAATTGGAAACAGAGATGTCGAGCGAGGGAAGGGAGGAGTCAGAGATGGGCCAAGTGAAGGAGACAGTGGGGTGGAAATTGGAAGTGAAATAGATAACTGTTCCAATTCCAGGCAGGAGAGAGGAAGCAGTACCAATGGTGTCATTGATGTACCAAAGAAAGGGTTGTGGATTGGGGCCAGAGGAGGACTGGAGCAGGGAATATTCCATATACTCGACAAAGAGACAAGTGTAACTGGAGCCCATCCAAGTACCCATTGCCACCCCTTTGACCTGATGTAAGTGAGAGGATGGTGGTGGATGAGCATGGTTCAGGCCTTCTTTCCAGGAGATAGGAAGAGATGAGTTTTGTGCGACAGGAACAGGCAGTAACAATGGGTCTGCCTGGGCAGTCCTGTTCGTTGATTTTGGGAGAGGAGGTAGAAGCAGACTTTACAGTGTTATGGGACTATGAGCTTGGAGACAGTGAGGGGTGTTGGGGTGGGGGCATAGGGGGTGTCATCACCAGGTGAAATGAGATTAACAACCGTTCTGGACGCAAAAGCTTAGTGTTCCATAGTGGGTCATGGTTTGGAGTAGATAGGAAAAGGCATCTGAGAGCTGACGCTCAGCCTCTGCAATGTGGATCCAGTGCGCCCATAACAACAGTACCACCCTTGTCGGTAGGCTTGATTACGAAGTCAGGGTTAGATCTCAGTCCATGGAGTACAGTCAATTCCTAGGGAGGTAGGTTGGAATGGATAAGGGGTGGGGGCAGAAATATTGAGGCAACCAATGTCATGTCAACTGTTCTTGATGAATAGGTCAAGTGCAGATAAAAGGCCAGAGAGACAGGTCCAAATGGAGGGAGAGTGTTAGAGACAGGTGAAAGGATTTGTCAGACTGGGAGAGGGCTCTTGTCCAAGAGAAATGAACACAGAGGCAAAGGCAACAGAAAAAGAGTCTTGTTGTGCCCAAAATTCATAAAGGTGGGATTTAAAGGGATAAAATTAAGACCTTTGCAGTGTACAGATCTCCACCCAGTGCCTCCAAGCTCATAGTCACAAGGTGAGATTTTATTCATGTTACATGTTCAATTTATCATCCTCAAATGAATGAGGAGAAACTACTACTGAATAGTGTATCACTGATTGGAAGGAGATTGGGAACAGAACTTTCACCTGGGCCTCAGAAATTGCAGCCAAATATCATTGAAAGTGATGAGTACAGAGCAAAAAGTCATGAAGAAGAGGAGAGACAAGCATGTTTAATATTTCTGTTAATATAATCATGTGAGTAGGCAGAATCAGCACCCCTCTCTTTTAAACTCCCTCTCAATCATAGAGCCATGGAGATCTACAGCACAGAGAAAGGCCTTTCGATATATCACGTCTGCATCAGTCAGAAACAGTCACCTAACTATTCTAATCCTATATTTCAGATCTTGTCACGTAGTTTTGTATGCCTTAACATCGCAAGTGCACATCTAAATCCTTCTTACAATGTTATGAGGATTTCTGCCTTACACAGGCAGTGAGTTCTAGATTCCTCCCACCACCTTGGGAGAAAGAGGTCTTCCTTACACTTCTTTGAAAACTTCTGTTCCTTTACCTTAAATCCATGTTCCCCACCATTCATCTCTCCATCATAATTTTATATATTTCAATCATGTTCCCTCTCAATCTCTTTTGTTTGAAGGATAGCAACCCAAGTCTGTCCAATTTCTCTTCATAACTGAAATTTTCCAACCCAGTCAGTTACAACAAATAGTGTTAATTATTTTTTCACAAGTAGGTATAACATTTCGTTTAAACTTACTTAAATGGATCTAGTACAGGCAGGAAGGTAAAGGCAAATACAGTAACAGATCTTAAGAGTACTTTGGGTAATGGGAATGAAAAGAACTAAGTACAACTGTTTAACTGTTGTCGTCTTTCTTTGGAAGTGGAAAGTTTGCAAATATTAAGTTCTCAGCAAACAGATTTTTCTAAGTAGCTTTTTTATTGATGTGAATTTTTATGACTGAGATTGACGGAAAAACAGTGGGTGAGAAAAGCTTCCTGTATCCTTGCTGTTGTAAGTTCATATTGCTGTCTCTCTCCTTTGTTGCTGAAAGGCTCTTGCTGAAAGGCTGTTGCTGAAGGCCATTCCTTTATCGATTCCAGAGTGTGTCATTGTTCCATTTCAAGCTGGTTAGTTATTGGCATCTTCTCATCTTTCAACTTTTGTGAGTAAAGCAAGAGATGTAAATTTCTTGACGCCTCACTAAGTCTCAGTGCCCCTTGACTAAAATGGTAATTCTGTGTGATATTCTAGGTGGAATGCCTGGCTTTGTCAAGTGATCACAGCAGCCATTTTAGATGAGGAGAATCCTTTATAAAACTATCATTAATTCATGAAAGTTTTAGGTATTAAAGTCAAATGATGGAAGTCACTGATAATCCATTTTCACGAAATCACAACATAATGAAAACAGTTTCAGAACTCGAGAGTTACCAGAAATATAGCCTGGAGAGAGGTTATGGAAAACTAATCAACAGAGAGAAGACTGGTCATAGCAAAAAACACAGCAGTCAAGATGACAGAGTTGAAACAGACCAAGGGAGAATCAGAAGACATTGGAATACACTAATATCATTTGAACAAGAACATAACAGAAATGTGGAACTATTGCACCAAAGCAAGGAAGGGAGAAGTACAGAGCTAGGAGATGAAATTGTACAAATTAGGCGTGTTTTCTCAAGAATTTAGAAGGTTAAGGTGTGACCTGATTGAAGTCTTCAAGTTATGAGTGGGAAAAGGCAGGATAGGTAAAGATAAACTATTTCTACTGGTTGCAGGTTCTAGAACTAGGAGGCATAGTCTAAAAATTAAGACCAGGCTGAAGGATAAGGAGAGATGGTAGGAAGCGCTTTTCAACAAAGGGTGATAGAGCTTTGGAACTCTTTGTAATGATATGCGCCTTTAAGAGGGATTTGTCTGCCCTGTTTCTCTTGAGAAGGGGATGTTGTAAATCTGGTACCAAAGTGTCTTCTCCATGAAAAGCAGAGTAAATAGCTTTGGATTTTTTTTGAAGTAGGCAAAAGAAGCATGAGTGGTTGGAGTCAGACTCACACAGACCGAGGGTTTTAGTTTTGCTTTCAGCGGTTGAAGTTGGAGTTTTAGAGTTGAAGTTGCTAGATATAGCTCTCTCTCTGCTGCTGCAAAAGTTTGAGTTCTCTCTCTACTGCTAGGTTCATTCTTTTGGCTGTTCCGTCTCTTGGACTGGAGGAGATAGCTAGGATAGAAAATCCATTTTGCTAAGTTTTTCTTTGCCAAGAGTGTGTTTATAGGATGCTGCTATATTGGAACAGTTGATAAGCAGTAGTTAAATAATACACTACTTTGTAAAGTATTTCAATAGAGTTAAAGTGATGCCAATTCTTCTTCTTTTTGTTTGTATTTTAACTGTGGTGTAAGAATGAAATGTGTTTTGGTCTAAGCCCAGTAGTTTGACCAGTCAAATCACATCTGGAACACATCACCTTACATTTGCCTTTAAATAAGATAAAACTTAGGGTCTAGGCTATCTCCTTGATATGTTTTGAGGGGCTTTAGTCTAGTATATAACACTCCCTTTGGCAAACAGCAGTTGATATGAAATCAGTTATTAATTTTAAATCTGAGATAGATAAATTTTTGTTCATCAAAGGTATTCAGGGACATGAATAAAAAGAGATAAATGGAATTAGGCCACAGATCAACCATAACCTTATTGAACTGTGGAAAAGGCTTAAGGTGCTGGATAGCCTACTCCTGTTCCCATGTTCAAAGACCTGAGACTGAGACTCCAAACCAGATCAAGTAGATTTCAGAAACATTTAGATAGAAATTAATAATGACTTTGGGAGGCTTGAGTTCAATGCCCAACTGCTACAAAGGTGTGTAACAACATCTTTGCACAGGTTGATTGAAAAAAAATTAACTTTAAGTAACTTCAGTAACTAATTAAAGAAAGTAAGAAAGCAACTATTAGCAACTATTATTGATCATGCTTCCCTGACAAAGGGAGGCAGGCGTTTCAGTTTCAGAATAATAGAGCACGTCCAGTAAACTACCGCAGGCTAATGGGAGTTTCATAGTCATATCTTAAGTTGTCCTGGTGGGGAAACCAGAGTCATGTAATTAACCTTTCTTTGTGATAGAAGCAAACTACAGAAGGATCTCATCCCTAATCTTGTATGCCTCACTCTGCTGAAGCACTCATGATTGGTATGTCCATGTTTGCTATGATCTGCCTGTACTGCTTGCAAAACAATGTTTTTCGCTGTACTTGGGTTACATATGACAAACAAAATCAAATCAAATCAAATCAGTGGGGGAGGTGGAATCCCTAAAAGCATGAAAGTGATGAAAATGAAGTTAAGCAAACTAAAAGTGCATGAACAGAGAATGTTGTCTATACAGTCAGCAGGGTTCAGTATCCTTGTAGTAATAATGTACAACAAGATTTTTAAACCTGAAATTCAGCTAATAAGCTGTTAACCTTCTAAACAGAAACATTAACAAAATAGCTAAGGCTGTCTCCCATTTTATTTAACATGGGGAGATTTAAAAACAAAAACTCTTACAATGCTCCCGCTGCCTTTTAATTATTCTGTCCCCACTGACCTGGATTTCCAGAACACATTCAGCTGAATTTGAACCATCAGTGGCTGAAAAGGTGACTTCATCATGCAGTGTCTCAGAGTCATCATGATTGTAACTGTGAACACATAGACACATATGTTCACCTATGGTTATTATCATCACAAAGTAAAACTCAATCCCATTGAAACTGATCCAGTCACTGTTTAATATGGAATTAGCATATTCCATATTGGGTGCAGGCAGTACGAGAATTAACACTTAACTGATAGCCTGAAATCTGGAAGAGTGTTAAGTAATGTCAAGAATCAAGTGCAAGTTATTTAAATAAAGAGAATGTGACAATACATGACAATATTGAAAGTGTATGCAAATTACATAAGACTATCGCCCACCTCAAAACTGATCTAATCAACCATTAGCTTCTCTGTTTGAGATCAAAAGTATACAGCTGCTACACTCAAGGTATTAGCAATGGAGATCAAAGGAATGAAGAGCTGAGAGAATCTTCAACATCAAGTATATTCATTCAGTATATCAAACACCACAATTAAAACCTTCCATTACTTTTTCAATCAACTATCTCTCTCGTAGGCTATAGTTAAAATAATACAGAAAGTTTAAAGCCAGGAACGCATGCAGTCCACAACAAGGCTTAGATAATGATGAAACAACTCTTTGTTGAAATACTAGCCTCCTGCCTCAATTCAATGTACCCTTGCTTAGTCAAATCAAACTATATAATTCACAAGATGTTCACTTCGTTCCACTTTACATCACACCTAATTAATCCCATTCTCATTCATTTATCCCTAAACCCTTTCATATCCTAGCTAGTCCAGCCCCATTCTCAGGTTCTAAACTCTCATATCTGGATATTTCCAGCATGTCATTTGGAACCATCACTTGCTCAATCTTCCTCTGCATCCAACACAAGCACCAACAGATTCCTATTTGTCCTGGGATTTATAAAATCAGTTGAGGGAAATACATTGAGTCATTCACAAAAGAACATGCTTGCTGGAGGAGCTGCAGCACTTGTTTTTTTTTCCCATTGACTCTCAATTCATTTTAATGTCTGGTTTATTTAATAAAAAGATTGACTTTTAAATTCTGGAAAATATCTACCTTTGGTTTCCCTTACATTCATTGACAGGCATTCTGCTTTGAAACTAAGTATCCATTGCTTCCTTCCCAGGGAGCAGTCTGTTGTTTGAAAAGCTATGATCAATATCAATGCTTCCCTGAATTTCAAACACTAGTGAGTGACAGCAATTGGCTTTCCATTGAAGAAAGATTGAAAGTTTCAAGAAGTTGTGACAACAGATTGTGTTTTTTGCCTCAACAGACATGTGGACAAATGGGAGTTTATCCACTTTGGTAGCAAATCAGAAAGGCAAATTATTATCCGAATGGTGGTAGATTGAAAAAGGGAGAGGTGCAACAAGATTTGCATGTCCCTACACACCAGTTACTGAAAGGAAGCGTGTAGGTGCAGCAAATGGCATGTTGCCCTTCATTGCAACAGCAGCAAGGATGTTGCTGCAATTGTACAAGGCCTCAGTGACACCACACTTAGAATATTGCGTACCATTTTGTTCTCCTTTACTGATCTATGATATTCTGGCAATGGAGAGCATGAAACAAAGGTTTACCAGATTGATTCCTGGGATGGCTTCTTGTTTCTGTTGTGTAGTGCTTGTCACATTTGCCTAAGAAGTGAACGGTCCCTGGTTTGGAACCAGGCAGAGTCAGTGGTGCTCCTTTATTAGGGCAGCATAGTTGCTCAGTGGTTAGAACTGCTGCCTCACAGTGCCAGGGACCTGTCTGTGTGGAAGTTGCACATTCTCCCTGTGTCTGCGTAGGCTTCCTCTGGGTACTATAGTTTCCTCCCACAGTCCAAAGATGCGCAGGTTAAGTGGATTGGCCGTGCTAAATTGTCCATAGTGTCTGGGATGTGCTGGCTAGATGAATTAGCTATGGGAAATGCAGGGTTATAGGAGTAGGGTAGGGGTGTGGGGTGCTCTTTGGAGGCAAGGTGTGGACTCAATGGGCTGAATGGCCTGCTTCCGCACGATGGGGATTCTATGATTTTACAGCAGGACTGATGTATGAACAGAGATTGGATCAGTTAGCATTAAACTCACTGGAGTTTGGAAGAATGAGGTGGGGATCTAATGGAAAACACAAAAATTCTAACAGGACAAGACCTGGGTAAATGCAGGAAAAATGTTCCCAGTGTCCAGGGAGTCAAGAACCATGGCTAACAATCTTGGGATATTTGGTAGGCCACTTAGGGCTGACATGAGAGAGATTTCTTCACCAGAGTAGTGAGCTTATGGAATTCTCTGCCGCAGCAAATTGTTGAGGCCAAAACATTGAATATTTTCAAGAAGAAATTAGACATAGTTCTTAGGCTTAAAGGGATCAAAGGGTATAGAGAGAAAGTGGGAACAAGGTATTGAGTTGGATGATCAGCCATGATTATATTGAATGGCAGAGGAGGCTCAAAGAACTGAATGGATGACTCCTGGTTCTATTTTCTACATTTCTATAATGTGTCAGATAATAAGGTTACAGGTTTTTTTTAATACATGTTAGAACACATTCTTTTTCTCTCAGTATCAATGTTAGGGAGGCTTTTAGCAGATGGTGACAAGTCCATTTCCTCCTCCTCCCTTCAAAAGAGGTGTAAAATATTTTCAATTAATATGTGGTTATGGAGGATAGATGGGCTGCATAGAGGTGGTGTGGGTAATCTGAACAGACGTGAGCTGGCATGGGGGCTAAGTGGTGAAGGAGGTGAAGTGTGAGGTTCAGAAGACACTGATAGGGAGCTTGGATACAGATGTGAATCTTCTCACCAGCCTGTTCCTTGCACCCATACGTCTCCCTCACAACTTTGCATTCATGAATTGCACTGTAAAACCTACCCTGGTATGAATTCAAAAACGGATCAGATGTGAAGTTTGTAAATGTGTAGGTGTACAGGTTGGGTTTATGCAAGCCCATGAAAGATTTGGCTTTATGTCCAAAGGATATAACCCAGGACATTGTATGCTTCACCTTCTGCTCTCTCAACGCATCCTTCCACCTTCAATGATGTAAGCACATATACATCTTTCCCTGACAGCATCTTTGCAGCAAAATTTCAAGAACGGTGTGCCTTGAAATGCAGCTTTAAAGTGAAGAATTGTCCTGTAAGTGGATTGAAAAGATACCAACAGGAACCTGCAAGGCTGGCATGGGTTGGATGCCAGCATCCTTGGACAGGAGCAAAAAGTGCAGCACATGGCTCAGACATTTTTTTTTGTGGGGTCCAAGATGGTAGCTTGGAGTAATAAGCAGTGAGCTGAATTTGCCAGGTACCCACTCTGACATTCATGCCAGGAATCGTCATCGTATAGTTTCCTCACAGGAAATGGTGGGAAAGGAATTGGAATGCTAATGAGGCTGATGACAAACAATAAACTCCTTCGACAGGCATTTCACTGCTGCCCAGCAAATATCTTGTCTCGATGCCTTGGAAAATGCACTGAGCTGTTCCCAATGTTGAGAAAGGCCTTGCCCAATCTCTCACATAATTGTCCTCCATTTCATGCTTTTGTCATTCAGGCCCCTATAAAATTTAGCCCCTCATCTTTGAAACAAAGAGTTTGATTGTAATTTACAGACAAACTTGCATCAGTCCTGTGTAAGAAGCATTTGCTGTTTATATTTATTCAGTCCACTAAGAAATGAATTAGTAATATTACCAGTTAGACTTCAGGTTTAACTAAACCTGCCCCTAGTTTAGGTCTCTTTGAAACCTGGTTTTGGAAGAAATCATGCTTTGTTCACCTGATAAGTAGATCAACCTCATATTGCTACCCCTTCAACTGTTATGAAAAGGAAATTTGCCACCAATTCTTACCATCAGTCAGCTGCAGTCACCTGCATCCATGTTTCAATGAAAATAAAACCTTCACTAGACACTAATTTAATGGACTCAGAGAAAGGAAAGCCATATAAATTAAGGCCCATGGCTTTGATTTTTAGGTGATTCTAAATAGCTTCCATATTTCTCCTGATTCCATTTAAATATGATGGAATGCTTTACTTAATCCTTACATTGATAAAAATGATTGTTTAAAGAAACCTAGATCCTTAGACTAATTTCCTGCCAGTGGAAAAAGGGAACCGAAGCAACAATCCTTATTCAGCCTACTCATTCTTGGCCTTCTTCTCACCAATTTCTTTCTCTTCTCCACTTGAGTAAGACCCCTCCCCCTCTGCTTCTCAACCCTCTACCCCTGCCTCCCGCCCTGCCTCATGTCCCATCCCCCACTTTGACACATGGACACTCTTAACCCTCTGCTTTAAGCCACTCCATCCTTTGCCTCATGCCCTTCCCACTTTGGATCACACCCCTTGACTTTGCCCTGTGTCGCATGCTCATCTCCTCCACACCCATCCCCTCCTCCCCACCTCACAGCCCACTCTGCCTCTGCCTCATGTCTCTCCCTTCATTGATAATCACAAGATGCTTTAATTTGTGATCTGATAAAAATTCACGCATATGCAAATTTAATAGCCCAATATTTACTAATGCCTACATTTAGGGGATTAAGACTTATTGGTTAGCTCAATGATTTAAGATCAAGAAACCCTGAAATATGCATCATCCTGAATGCCATTGTTTTAATTACAGATTGTTTGCATTTGACCCCCGGTTTCCGATCCAAAAGCCAGACTGAATGTGAGCTGTTGTATGGGCAATTGCAATGTGCAGCAAAACATCACAGCCATGGGGCAGAGTGAACACTATATGTAGATAATGAAGGGATTGATTCCATGGAGAAATGATGATGGGAGCAAGAACATTGTGGGATGAATGGAGAAATCATGGAAGGGCAAGTGGTCAGATTTTGGGGGCGTTCAGTGTTGAGAGATGGTGGACAGAGCAGACAGCAGAGGATAGGCAGCACAGTGGCTCAGTAGTTAGCACTGCTGCCTCACAGCACCAGGGACTCAGGTTTGATTCCACCCTCTGGTGACTGTCTGTGTGGAGTTTGCACGTTCTCCCCTGTCTGCGTGGGTTTCCGCCGAGTGCTCCAATTTCCTCCCACAGTCCAAAGATATGCAGGCTATGTGGATTGGCCATGCTAAATTTCCCAAAGTGTTCAGGGATATGTAGATTAGGTGTTTCAGCCATGGGAAATGCCGGGTTACTTGGTGCGGGGGGGGGGGGGGGGTCGGAGAATGGGTCGGGATGTGGTGCCATTCGAAGGTCGGTGTGGACTTGTTGAGCCGAAGGACCTGTTTCCACACTGTAGGGATTCTATGAGTTCTAAATGATGGTGGCAATGAGTTCAGGTTAATGTTCACAATTGGCCATGGGAAGAGTTGGGATTGGACAGAACAATGGGTGATGGCACGGTTTGCTTCTACAGGGTAGCCTGCTGTGACTGGAAGAAAAACTTTGAACAATCCTGGCCCACAAGCAGTGCTATAAATGTATGAACCTACTGGACCTGGCTGTTCCAACCTGCCAGATAGCCGACAGTCTGGAAAATACATCTGATTGCAAGAAACGTAAATCTTGTTAAAGATGGAGCCTTATTTGAAACACTTATTGGTGATCACCCTTCCCTTATCCAGTCTTCGTTTAAATTAGAAGTGGACAGGTTCAAGGCAGGATGACACCAAATGTGAAATTCTCAACATTTTACCTTGCTACGTTATTCAAGTCATCCTATTTTGGAGTTTGAAAATTATCTCTAAAGTGTCATACTGATCAGTTTCTCTAGGATGAGGTATGTAGCATGAACAACATTTGTACTGCCTTGCCTGGCAAATCTGTAACAAAGCACTTCAAGCAAGACTGCTTCTTACAAAAAGAAATAGTGGATGAATGCCTCTTATTAGTTGTTTTTCTAATCAGACAAATGGAATGCAAATGAAAGGAAACTATTTTCTTTGCTGTGACTGATGTAAAATGAATAACCAGACCACATTTTCTCCCTTTATTTACTTGTCCTTTCAACACTCCCAGGATCTCCTCTTGTATCTCTTATTTCAACTCTTTTGGGCACTTTGCTCTCGCTAATCCCTGTCCCAAACCTTCAGTGATCCTTAACCTTCCTGCTCACCAACTGCCATCCCAGCAGTGGGCTCTATATCTTGCTTGGCATCCTCTTTTTTGATGCATCAAAAAGAAATATCATCACTGCCTCCTTAACAACAGAAACTTCAACTATCCAATCCTACTTTCAATCCTATTCTCACTCTAACCTTTCTACTCAGCAATACTGCCCTCCTGTTCTCCCTGAAAACTCATTGTCAGGTATTCACAGCTACTCCATTGACTCTGTCATCTAGCATAGTCTTGGAGCTGGGCTTAAGGGACTTCTACAATCATTGATCAGCTTCACACCAGACAAAGAGCTATGTATTCTAGATCAATGTTATGGACTAACTTCAAACTTTTGTTTCCAAATTTGAAAGGAAATTGAAAATTATTTCAATAAAACTGATAGTGGGCCATCACATAACAGCAAAGATTCCTTACCTAATTTTTAACTGCCTGAGGTCTTTTAGATTGAAGATGTCCCCTTCAATCATGGGATCGCCATCCACTTTGACCACTCCATGCACTGGTTGCTTCTGAACCATGATCTTGATCTGGTCATCTTTTGTGTCAAAATCCATCACCAGAACATGATCCACTGTAATCTGAACTACTCCTCCTTCTTCAACATTCAATTGCTTTGTCAAGATCTGAAATAAAATGGAAAAGCCATTTTTCATTTTTGTTACTTGCTTGCAGAGTAAGGAGAAACTATTACCTGACATTTCCAAGGTGATTCTCCAGTGGGAAAGCAGCAAAACCTGACAAAGAAATTTTAAAAAATGACAAGGGGTGAAATATGTGGGAAATCTCACAATAACTGCAGAAGAATCTAGGGGAAAGTCACAGTCAATTAGTTAACAATAAGAGACAATGCATATTCTCCATGCAGCCCAATGAGATCAGAGGACCTGATAGAAGTTTATAAGATTGTGAATGGCTTAGAAACAGTGAAAATATGAGGCTTTTTCCCATGATGGAGGGGTCAATTACTAGGGGACACAGGTTCAAGCTACGAGGCGGGGGGTGCAATTTAAAAGAGATATACGGCGCTCATTATTCACACAAAGGGTGGTGAGTGCCTGGAACTTGCTCCCAAAGGACGTGGTGAAAGCAGACACAACAGCAGCTTTCAAGAAGCACCTGGACAAATACATGAATAGGAAAGGAATGGAGGGATACGGATCCTGTCAGGGAAGACAGTTTTAATATGGAAGGGCAAAATGTGTCAGTGCAGGCTTGGAGGGCTGGAGGGCCTGTGCCTGTTCCTGTGCTGTACTGTTCTTTGTTCTTTGTTCTGTTCTTTGAGCTGAATATATGCTAGCCTAATAGGAGTTATGTTGCAACTCACAATCCACTCAATTTAACTGCAACATGATATTTTGAGGTTCTGTTATTTACATACAATACTAAAAAATCATCTGTGACCATATCATCCAATGATACATATCGTGAGGATATTTTCCAGGAGGCAGTGATTATAATTTTTTTTTGTTATTACTTTTCATTCATTCAAGGGATATGAGCATAATTAGTTGGGTCAATATTTACTGCCCATCCCTAATTGCCCTTTGAGAAGGTGCTAGTGAGCTACCGTCTTGAAATGCAGTCCATCCAGTGTAGGTATGCCTACAGTGCCATTGGAAGGGAGTTCCAGGATTTTAACCTAGTAACACCAAAGGAACAGAGATATATTTCCAAGTCAGCATGATGTGAAGTTTGCAAGTGTGGTTGTTCTTGCATTTGTGCTGCCCTTCTCTTGACTAAACGTCAGTGTCCATGGGTTTGCAAGGGGATGTCTGAGGAGACTTGATGAATTTCTGCAGTGCATGTTGTAGATGGTGTACACTTCTACGACTGAGTGTCAGTGATGGAAAGTGAATATTTCTGGATTTGGTGCCAATCAAGTAGGCTGCTTTGTCCTTGATGAGATAGTAGGAACTGCAGATGCTGGAAAATCTGAGATAACAAGGTGTAGAGCTGGATGAACACAGCAGGCCAAGCAGCATCAGAGGAGCAGGAAGGCTGATGTTTTGGGCCTAGACCCTTCATCAGAGATAGTAGGAACTGCAGATGCTGGAAAATCTGAGATAACAAGGTGTAGAGCTGGATGAACACAGCAGGCCAAGTAGCATCAGAGGAGCAGGAAGGCTGACGTTTCT